TGTCACTGGCAACTCATAAGAAGGGCATGATTTCTTGGGTATACTCCCAGCTATTGTCTACAGTACAGGATCAAGCTAGTCTCCGGAGCAGGGCACAGAGGTCCCGGGATATTGGAGAGTTTGCTGGAGATGTCTGGGATGCTGCCCTGGAATCTGTTTCAGGAATTTCTCTTTCTCCGTCTCATAAATTGTCTCAATTGTTTATTTTCTATTGAGTGTATAGAATCCCTGTGCAACTACAACGGCGGGGCAGGCGGGATTCACCTGATTGTCCGAGGTGTAGGGTCCAACAGGGTGATTTCATTCATATGCTCTGGCGTTGCCCCAAGTTATATAGATGTTGGAGTGAGGTAATATCATCGGCTCCTCCGACTAGTAAGCAATGGATAGATTATGTTGATTCTTTACACCCACGGGAGAAACTCACGTACCAACATCGCAATGCTTATCATAAGTTCCAGCAGGTATGGCAGGGTTGGCTGGATACACCTGGACTTGCCCCTCCTCAATTGATAGTGGACCGACTTCTGCAGGTGTGATATTTTATATCAGGTGTGTGGCTCCACTCCTCCCCCTGGGGGAGTTCATGTGCATCTCCCATTCTTTTTTGATGAGAAGTCCTGGGTGAACCAGAGGTTGTTGTTGATGTGGGGTTTTTTTACTGTTTGAAGACATGTTTTGGGCTTTGTTCCTTTTCCCCATTTCTGTTTACATCTGGTCAGGAAGGAATAAGATGTAAAAAGGAAAAAGCAAGATATTGTCAAGAAAGTTTTGGATCCTTGTGGTGTCTGTTTTGTTTGATTACCATTTCTGTTATTCTGTTTATTACGGGATCTGCGTATCCACGTTGTTCTATTTATGTGCAATCCTGTCGTTGCAGTAAAGTCATTGTGGATTCTGTAAGTACTGTTCCATTTTCTCTATTATCTTGACAATAAAAGTTGTTTGGATTAAAAAAAAAATACTTACCTGTAAAAGAAGACAGTTTGTACTTATCACAACTGCTGGTCATGGTAACAAACATTGTTCTATTCAGTAGTAATCATTCTCTTAAGTCCAAAGGGAAACCAACACTTGTGGGTGTGTTGATCTCCCTGTTACCCCATTCTGTTGGAAAGTCACAGCTCCAAAGCTCAGCAGATCTGCAAGCTCCCTGATCGCTGTGCAATCAGTACAATTTTAAAAAGAAGCCGAAAGCCTTAAGAGTTGGTGCCTGTACTGCTGGTGATCTGATGTGGACAGGCAATACACAATTTTCTGTAGGGAAGGGGGAATGCTGGAGGGGTTAAACAGCACGAGGGAAATTAGCCACAAACAAAGAAACATAGAAAAGTGATGGCAGAAAAAGACTGAGTGTTCTATCGAGTCTACCTGTTCAATAATATTTTGTATAAGACCGGCAGCCATTCTGCCCTCCACAGTGGAGGGGACATCTTGTATACAGTAAAGGTGCTTTTTTATGTAAGTAAATGGAGCCAGTGCTAACACTGGCTTTTGAGGACTCGGCAGTGCCTGCATCCTTAAAAGCCACTGACAGTGGAATGCTGTCATGCATAACATTATACAGGATTTTAGGCTCCTGCCAAATGGGTAAATTTTTGGGCATTCGTCCAAATGCCTAAACAGTCAAGGTTCAGACCGAACCTTAAGCTCATCCCTACCCACCTCTCTGCATGTTTTTCTCTGCCAGGGAGAGAAACAAAGGTGAATACTATAGAGTACCAATTGAGTGACAGCTTTGAGTCTCTTGGGGCTGCTGACATCACATCCAAGACGGCGGCACCAAGCATCAGTGTCAGGGCTTTTTGATGTCTACACAATGGAGACTTTTACAGGTAAATGTACAAAATATGTTGAATGCATACATAACCTTATGAAAATGGTCTGGTGAATAGGTCTCTTTAAAGTATATGTAAACCCCTAAGCTCTCATTTCTCCCTTATGGGCTGTTAAATATACCATTTAGACCATTAAATTATGTGTTTCATTAAAAAGTGCAATATAATACCTGTTGATCCTGCCAGAAATCTAGTGGACTTGTAAACTCCTGTGCTCTATGTCTCTGCTGACTGTTATCAGCTAGCTGTGTTACAAACTTGTTTAGACCCCTCTGTGGACTACAGGACATCTCCTTCTTACGAATGGAGATGGGAGATGCTCCATATTCCTAACACACATCCTGCCTTATGGTAATAATACTGTTGCTTCATGAATACAGTACAATCACTCATGGATTGGAAGTGTGAACATAAAGGGAAAAAAAGCTTATAAAAAAGAATGCAACCACTGCATCTACAATGAGTAAGATGCTATATATTATTTTTTAAAATTGTTTCTATGAGAAAATGAGGCAAAATTTAACCCAAGGAGTAGGCAGATAGTGGAGCAATGCCAACTGGGAAACACAGTTCCCAAACTATCAGTCTACACTTGGTACAGTGATAACAAGAGAACCTGCTCTCTAATTAACTTAATAAAATGGCAATTAAAATCAACTGAGCCCAGAGTAAATAGATGCCAAGTACATGTACCTTAAGCATCAATTACTGCAAACATACCCTGAATCTTTAGTAAGTTTTCCACATCTGATTTGAGAAACAGGAACGATGAAATGGTCATTATGTTTATATTGATCTAATCCCAACATATTCTCTAGAGATAATTATGAGCATTTTTCCAGCAAATAAGTTCATTAAAAAAATAATTTACTTGCCATGCATTCAAAGTGGAATCAGCCCTCATATTGGTAAAATATGTTTTCTTTAAGCTCTTTCCCTTATCTCATAATAATTATTTTTTATAATATACATTTTATCGTACTTGTTACAGTTTGGGAAAGGCATTTTAAAACATGTTTTAATATTGTGTTTGAGATCTGTTTATTAAAATGCAAACTTGTGTATGAAATGTCTTTTTTAAAATGCAAACTTTAGCTAAAGCTCATTTGTACAGATCATCTAACAAGAAAGGCTGAATGAGTTTTAATCCAGAATTGTAATTATGCAGCTCTGGTTTAAAATGTTCATTTGCAGTAGAGTTAATTGGAAGGAACAGCTCTCCTGGTTTGAATGGAGAACAAGCTTAAAACGGGAATGCTTTTGCACAATGTGATAATGTTAGGTGTGACAACCACTAGCCCAGTAGAGATGCCAAGTAGCCCCAAGCCATGAAATAATGACCTCCTTCAATTTTTTTTCCTAAAATGATTTCTCTTCAATGCACAAAGTTTAATTAAATATTTATACAGGATTTTCGCCCCAGGTCAATTTCATATTTCTTTTTCTATCCTTGCAAAAAGCATCTCCCACAGTTATGTTATGTTTACTGATGTTTTGTTAATACTTCTTTCTTCTAAAGATGTTCATTAATAACTTGTTTTTTTAGAAATTTGTTGTATTTGGGGCAAACATTTCAGGGAAGTTTTTAACATTGTTTTTTGAAGCAAGCAATCTGCAATGTCCAATCAACACTAGCACTATTATGATAGTCAAGATAATATTTAGGTGTTTGGCAATGGATGTAGCGCTACCCCTGAAGGGACCGCTTGATGATGCTTGTTTCTAGTGGTTGTCCTGACCTTGCATGCCTCCCACACCCACTGGGTTCAGGCCTATTTCAACAGTTTAGAATAATAATGCAAGAGACACAATTCTATAATAACACCTCTATATTAGATGTGTTCAAAATAATAGATCAAAGGAATAATGGGTTTAGGTTGCACAACCCCAGTTAACACATAAAAGCAGAATACTGGTACAATAGAAACAATCAATCAGCAATGTTTAACAGATTATACAGTCATGAGAAGTAAGGTTCAACTATTTAATTGCAACACTGGCAGTTATAGGGGGAAGAAAAGACTTGTTGACTTATCAGCTCCCTCTGAGCCATCTGCACCAGAAAAGGTATGCAGAGAATTAGGTAAATGTATGCTCCGGCATAAATATACGTAGGTCCCTTTAACTAGAGATTGCAGCTTGGGTCCTGTGTTGTTAAAGTTTTCCATATGATGGTCTCCACTGTCTTCTGCTAGCAATGGTGGAGCCCATAAACATAGGTGAATACTGCTAATTTAAGTAAGTTGAACAGATAGGCTGTAAGACTGCTCAAAACCAAAGTATCCTGGTAGCTGATGTGTAAAATTGTCTGCATGTAATGTCTCTATAATGACGACAGAAAGAGGTTTGGCATCCACCTGCTCACCAATCTTATGAATACCACAGCCTCCAAGAGTTCTTGCACAGGCTCTGTCAGCGCTGTGACAGTCCCGGCACAGAGAAGACAGAGATACGATCATGGTGGGGCGATTGGCGCTACCACGGTGCTGAACTGCTGTGCAGAGTCCTGCAGCAGTAGGTACGCAATTTTTTTGTCCAGCTCTGAATGTCACATCACGAGAGTGAGCCTGTCCCTCGCTGTAGAATATATCTTATCTCCCAGCATCCTTCTCATTCACCAACTCTCTGGTATGTGTAGCTCAATCAGGACTCAGGAATATAGTATACATTGTCTATAGGACTACAGGCTCCAAGATTCTCTGCTGCCAGAAGAATTGGATCCACTCTGCTAACAGGAAGTGATGTAGCTGTCCCAGTATTGGGCACTAGGGGAAAAAAGGATTAATCATAGTCTCATCTGTAAGTGTCCCTGAATTGCATAATGACATAGCTGGCACCTGGCTACATCGACATGGTTGAGTTTAAAGGGTTAGTTCACCTGTACCAAAAAACTGCCTATGCATGTAAGGGATACCTGTAGATAAAAAAAAAATGTGCATCTTTGACCAAATCTGAATAATACCCTTGCTATAGATGTAGGCCATATAAGTACCTTGTGAAGCCTGAACAAAAAACTCCCAGAGATGGCATTATCCTATTCCGCCTTGTTAGAATGTTGCAGACACTCACAGCTGATTCAAACCTCCTTGCATGCACTGTCTCTTCCCTGTTGTAGTGGTGCTGTTCTCAGTGATGCTGCAATGGAAGATATAGTGGACTAGATGATACAACAGAAGAGTGGATTTTGAGAGCTTGCTCCTGTGATGATAACAGGGGCGGACTGACCATTTGGAAACTCGGGCACTGCCCGAGGGCCCGGGGTCAGTAGGGGGCCCCATGAGATGCCCCTGGTACCTTTTTCATAGGCTTTTTTGAGTTTGGGCAAGGACACAGGGCCCCATGATCCCCCTATTGCCCGGGGGGCACCATAAGTTGTCAGTCCACCCCTGGATGATAGGGATGAGCAAAATGGGCTAGGAGTGTCTTAGCAACTTCCTAACAACAACGCAGTACAGGATGATGCCATCTCTGGGAGATTCTTGACCAGACTTCAGGTGGTACACAAATGGCCTATACCAATAGCAAGGGTATAATCCAACTAGTCAAAGCTGCAGTTTGTTTTTTTGTACATGCACGCCTTCACTGCATAGGAAGTTTTTGGTAAAGGTGAAACTAACCTTTAAGGGTCAGCGTGCATGTGAGATTCCTTTAAGTTGCTTTTCAACTGTTTGAGGAAGAAAAACACATAACTATTAGAGAAGAGCTTGGGAATCCTCTGAATTCATCTCTAGCCAAACTTCATATTCGCACTCTTTTTTTTTTACTGCAACGACTGCCCTGCAGCCTGCCTCCTGGTTTACATGAGCTGCAGGGCAGGAGTGACCCAACCCACTGGAGCAAAAGAACAGCGCAGGTTCTGAGGCTTGCGATGACTTTGGAGGATGCTCAGCCCATCTCTAATAACCATACAAATCCTAAGGGTAAGGTCGAAAGGAAGGTTCAGGGGTGTTGTCCAGCTTTCATTTTAATTATACCAGTAAATTTATCCACAGACATTCCTTCTTGCACTATCCTGACTTGGACAACATGCAAGCATGCCAACGCACAGTCAATGGCACACCACAGTAGAATCTTGATGTTCAGCCAAAGTTCCGACAATGAGCAAGACAGCAGAAAGAACAGGAAAGTAGAAAGTCTTACATCAATGATGGTGAAAGATATGTGTATCCCGCGCCACCTATAGGTGAAGTATGTGATTCCATACATAATAATAAGCTCCCCGTCCTCCACTTTTTGAGGATTTTTAGGTCAAAAAGTGGAGGACGGGGAACGCATTTTTAAAGGGTCAGTCACCCAAAATGAGTTCACCAGTGAGCGGCCTCTGAATGGAGAATTACATTTAAATGGAATCTAGAAGGAGAAGAGATGAGGAAAGGATCCCCATTAAAGGGAAACAAGCAATTTTGACCTAATAGGACAACTCAAAAAGTGGAGGTAAGCGCAATATTTGAACGTTGATGTTCACAAATACTTAGGTGCTGCACATTTATCACAGAAGAGAATAAAGTGGCACAAATGATGAAGGAAGACATACATTTAACACAATTTACGGACTGCGGACATTTTATGTTATGTGGTTTAAGAAAATATTTGCTGTATTGTTTATCATGAGGTTATTGTTTATTTAATTATGAGTTTTGGTGCACGTATCATATGATCACAGGGAGGTGCAGCATATATATTTTCTGGTTTTTACATCAATGACGCCAGACCACATCAAACTTTATTAAAACTGTACAAAGACTGCTTTGTCCAGCATTAATCAGGTTGGACATGATTCTGATGTCATATGTGTACGACATCCTCCTATCCTGCTTAGTTTGCACAGCATGGCTGGGCTTCTTTTGGTCAGCACCTCAAATTCCAAATGCAAGAAATTATACAGGCTTAGAACATACAGTCAGGTCCATAAATATTGGGACATTGACACAATTCTAACATTTTTGGCTCTATACACCACCACAATAAATTTTAAATGAAACGAACAAGATGTGCTTTAACTGCAGACTGTCGGCTTTAATTTGGGGGTATTTACATCCAAATCAGGTGAACGGTGTAGGAATTACAACAGTTTGCATATGTGCCTCCCACTTGTTAAGGGACCAAAAGTAATGGGACAGAATAATAATCATAAATCAAACTTTCACTTTTTAATACTTGGTTGCAAATCCTTTGCAGTCAATTACAGCCTGAAGTCTGGAACGCATAGACATCACCAGACGCTGGGTTTCATCCCTGGTGATGCTCTGCCAGGCCTCTACTGCAACGGTCTTCAGTTCCTGCTTGTTCTTGGGGCATTTTCCCTTCAGTTTTGTCTTCAGCAAGTGAAATGCATGCTCAATCGGATTCAGGTCAGGTGATTGACTTGGCCATTGCATAACATTCCACTTCTTTCCCTTAAAAAACTCTTTGGTTGCTTTTGTAGTATGCTTTGGGTCATTGTCCATCTGCACTGTGAAGCAGCGTCCAATGAGTTCTGAAGCATTTGGCTGAATATGAGCAGATAATATTGCCCAAAAACACTTCAGAATTCACCTGCTGCTTTTGTCAGCAGTCACATCATCAATAAATACAAGAGAACCAGTTCCATTGGCAGCCATACATGCCCACGCCATGACACTACCACCACCATGCTTCACTGATGAGGTGGTATGCTTAGGATCATGAGCAGTTCCTTTCCTTCTCCATACTCTTCTCTTCCCATCACTCTGGTACAAGTTGATCTTGGTCTCATCTGTCCATAGGATGTTGTTCCAGAACTGTGAAGGCTTTTTTAGATGTCGTTTGGCAAACTCTAATCTGGCCTTCCTGCTTTTGAGGCTCACCAATGGTTTACATCTTGTGGTGAACCCTCTGTATTCACTCTGGTGAAGTCTTCTCTTGATTGTTGACTTTGACACACATACACCTACCTCCTGGAGAGTGTTCTTGATCTGGCCAACTGTTGTGAAGGGTGTTTCTTCACCAGGGAAAGAATTCTTCGGTCATCCACCACAGTTGTTTTCTGTGGTCTTCTGGGTCTTTTGGTGTTGCTGAGCTCACCGGTGTGTTCCTTCTTTTTAAGAATGTTCCAAACTGTTGTTTTGGCCACGCCTAATGTTTTTGCTGTCTCTCTGATGGGTTTATTTTGTTTTTTCAGCCTAATGATGGCTTGCTTCACTGATAGTGACAGCTCTTTGGATCTCATCTTGAGAGTTGACAGCAACAGATTCCAAATGCAAACAGCACACTTGAAATGAACTCTAGACCTTTTATCTGCTCATTGTAATTTGGATAATGAGTGAATAACACATACCTGGCTATGGAACAGCTGAGAAGCCAATTGTCCCATTACTTTTGGTCCCTTAACAAGTGGGAGGCACACATGCAAACTGTTGTAATTTCTACACCGTTCACCTGATTTGGATGTAAATACCCTCAAATTAAAGCTGACAGTCTGCAGTTAAAGCACATCTTGTTCGTTTCATTTCAAATCCATTGTGGTGGTGTATAGAGCTAAAAATGTTAGAATTGTGTCGATGTCCCAATATTTATGGACCTGACTGTAGATACAATGGTGACACTGCACCGCTCTAGTGACAGTATGTAAAAACATACTGTCATCAGTTAGTGTCCCTAATCACCGCCACACCAGTGACAGTGTCCCTGATCCCCATCAAACCAGTCCCAGTGTCTCTGATCACTGCCCACCTCAGTCATATTGTCCCTAATCAATGCCATAGCAGTTACAGTGTCCCTGATCAACACCATACCAGTCCCAGTGCCCCTGGTCACCACCACTCCTAAACATCGCCACACCAGTCCCAGCACCCCTGATCACTGCCACACTAGTCCCAGTGTTCCTGGTCATTGCCACAGCAGCCATATTGTCCCTAATTACTGCCACACCAGTTAGTCTCCTTGATAACTGCCACACCAGTTACAGTGACCCTGATCACTACCAAACCAGTCCTAGTGTCCATGATCATAGCCACAGCAGTCATAGTGTCACCGTAAAGATTTGTTTACATGTTCAATGCTCTCTGAAGAGCCATCCATGTTCAGATTGCTCTTCACTTGAATGGGTCACGAACGGCAGGCGTACAGGGAAGCAAAGCATCACAGTCATGGCTTCTGTACACTCCCGGCCATTGACTCTGCAGCTAAAGGGGGTAGAGGTTGAGTGGCATTAAACCAAGGCTCAATCTCTAAGTTTTTTCACCCACCAGATTCACATGTGAATAAACCTTAATAGTGCAGCCAGTAACAGTTGATGTCCCTGGTTGCTGCCTGTAATGGTCTCTGGTCTGGGTAGTGACCACATTTTTGCCTGTTGCATGAACTGATCCTTTGCCTGTTTGCTGACCATGTCTCTGCCTGAACTGAACTGACTCGTCTGCATGTCCGACTGACCTGCAAGATACCAGTCCCAGACATCCCCTGTGGACAACTGCACTCCTGGAACCACAGGGACTCTTTTGTTCTTCCAGTGAACATGGCATTCCTTGGGGAAGCCATGTACTAGTAGGCTAGACTTGCTTGGCTTATAGGAATGAGGACTGCTATAGTTGATGATACACTAAGCTATATTCCCCAGCTACTAGCATAGAGGCGACCATTACAGTCCATTGGTTTTGATACAATTTTTTGATTTATGTGATACACAAGGTACAATGTCCAGTATATAATCAGTCCATAAAGTGTAAAAGTCTCACATACTGTATGTGGTATCACCACACCAGGGAGGAGTAGCAGAATGTGTTTTGGGGTGTAATTCTAAGTAAGCATATATTGCCTGTGAGTTTTATCCTATTAAATTCACCATGCCTCTTATAAAATACCTTAGGGTGTTTGCTTCCCAAATTTTGTGGTAATTTTGTAGGTGTTTCCACTATCCTGGTGCTCCAGGGTCTCGAAAAATGTAATAGGTAGTCAGGAAATTAGATGTGTAATTTATGAATTTATGCTGTTGGAATGTCTGAAGGATTCTTGAATCCTTAGTTTTTGTGCCCTCTATGCATCTATACTCAATATACATAGTGGAATGTGTGTAACTTGTTAAGATGACAAAAAATTTTATTTATTTTTTCATATTCCAAAAAATTGTGACAAATTTACAACTTCAAAAAACTTACCATGCCTCTTACTCAATACCTTGGATACTATAATTTGTAGACTCTATAACTTTCACACAGACTAAATCATGTATACTGATTTGG